ATCCGCCCGCCTCTGCCTCCCAGAGTGCTAGGATTACAGGCGTGAGCCACCGCGCCTGGCCTGGCATACATTTTTACCTTGCTTTATGTGGTGTTTGTGACCTCACTTGTCTTCTTGGAGAGTACATAAATGCTCTCTTTATAAGTAAACTCAGTCTCTGAAAACTCACTAATAGGAAATGCTAAGAGCAGGGGGAAGTTGTTAATAAACCCAGCGCATCCTATGCCTATTTTTTAGGTCCCTTTTTGTGCCACTGGGCCTCATAACGAGCTAGCTAAAAAGAACAGCCAAAAAAGCAGATGGCTCTGCTCATGCTATGAGGCTTTGCGTAAATGGGAATTCATTTGAACTCCCCAAAGGGATCTGCTGGTGGAAACATCGTGTTACAGACATATTCTACAGGGTGCTTCAGTACCTGGCATGCCTTGAAAACAGAACCCCCTTAATTCTTCAGGGAGTGTGTGTGTGTGTGTGTGTGTGTGTGTGTGTGTGAGACAATGGGAAGAAGGTTTAGTTTTAAGTTCAGTCCGTTGGAGGCTTTTCCAAAGCAACATATCTGATTATGAAATGTACATCTATGAGGAAATAAGGATTCTATATACAAAATCTCAGCTTACATACAACTTTACTTTTCAGGTAGTTTGTATGGCAAGAAAGCTATGTTTTAACCACTTCTAAAAGGTTAACTACTGTAAATTCAGCACTTTCTACTGATCCTTAGGTCAAAAAAAACTTTAATCACAGAATTAGAAGTGTTTTAAGCTATATTATGTTTTCTCAAACAGTCGAAAGACTCCTGGATCTTTTGCCATTTTTACAGGCTGCTGTAAATGCGCTTGATGGCCTTGGCTTCTTCCTTATCAAGAATGCCTTTCTCCACATATGCATCGGCTTGCTGGTTGATGAAGTCCCTCATCTTTGAAAGGTCATAATCTGGAAAATATTATTAGAATGTCAGCAGCAAAGATGAGGAAAGACCAGTCCCGTTACAGTGATTACCATTAATTGAGAGGCATTTTGTGAGATAACACAATTACCATTCCTCGCCTTTCACATTGGAAAACATGTTCATTCTTGGCATCTGTACTTTATAGGAATTATGTTTATGTGTATTATATTATCTCATCTGCTCTTCATCACAACCCTGTGAGGTATTCAGGTGGGGAGTAACATCCCATTTGACCAAAGAGGGAACCGCCTCATGGTCAGGACTTCGCAAACTTTAACATTTATACCAATCACCTGGGGTTCTTGGGAAGTTGCAGATTCATATTCAGTAGGTCGGGGCAGGGGGTGGGGGGGGCCCAGGTTTTGCATTTTAAGCTCTCAGGAGCTGCCAATGCTGCTGGTCCAGGAACCGCACGTGGGGTAACAGGATCCTAAAGCTTAAGTGCCTTGTTTAAGGTCACATACGTAGTAAAAGTTATGATCAAAACCAGGTGTTTTGACTTCTTGAACTTGTTACACCAGATTAAGTCCTTGTGGATGTGACAACCCACATTTTTTTTTCCAAATTAAGAATTACCTTGATTACTTCACGTTGTTTGAATGGTATGCATAGAGCAAAAAGCCAAACCATAACCTTTTAATGGCTTCTCTGTCCCCCTTAAACAGATCCATTTAAATTATCAAACCACCCACCCAAAGTAAAGAGATCCCCAAGTAAGGAGGCTGCCTCTGGCATTTTTCTGAAGGCTTAAAAAACTCCACATCTTCATTTGACTCTTTAAGTATTATAGGATTATAATTGTAAAAGACCAGAACAGAGCCCTGCCTCAGTGGGTCTGTAAAGGGGAGAGAAAGGAGGGCCAGCGGACATAAGGGCGCAGAGGGATTCGCAGGCACCTTCCGCCAGCCTCAGTGTAATCTGAACCTGGGTCACCTGGGTATTTTTAAGTCCCTACACAAAAGGAAAACAAAGCATGAAGGACTCTCTGCAAGCGCTAAGTATTTATCTTATCAAGGTGAGTGAGGCTTAGAGAGAGCTCATTCCTCTCCGGCCAGCAGGGCATCTGCTCCCTGTTAGGGCACGGCCATGAGGATTTAAAGAGAGAACTCCCAGCACTGAGCGCTTGACAACCATCATCTTATTTGCGCCTCACAAAACCCCATGAGGTATTGTGACATCTTGGGGTACTTTAGGCCTCAGGAAACAGAATCTCTCTCTTTGACCTTCTCCTGCCCTCTTTTCACCTGCCCAAGGCAGGATCTCATCTGACTGTGGGTCTGTGGGTCATAAGACCCTCATTTCAGAAAGAGTCCTGCCCCATAGCCTGGAGGAAGGAATGCTACACAGAGTCGAAGAAGAATCTGAACGGACAGGGCTTAGCGGGTTTATATTATAGCCTTTTGTCCAATTATATTTCTACACGGTTTTCAATTGCGCCTATTCAATGAAGGCTCCATAAAAGGGCCCAGAGGACAGGGTAAGGGAGCTTCCGGATAGCTGAACACGTGCAGGCTGCCAGGGAGGTGAACGAGAACTCATCCCTGTGCCGGGAGGGTGGTGCACCCCAACTCCGCAGGGGTAGAAGCTCCCGTGCTCAGGACCCTTCCAGACCTTGCCCTACGTATCTCTTGACCTGGCTGTTTATTTTTATCCTTTAAAATATCCTTTGTAATAAACTGATAAACGTTAAGTATTTCCTTAGTTCTGTGAGGTGCTCTAGCAAATGAATCGAACTCAAAGAAGGGGTCATGGGAATCCCAACTGGAAGCTGGTTGGTCAGACATTCCGGAGCCTCAGATTCGAGACTGGTGGGAACAAAGGGGTGGTTTTGTGGAAGTGAGCCCTCAACCTGTGGTTTCTGAGGCTACTTTCAGGTAGCTAGTGTCAGAATTGCATTGGAATTGGAGAACACCCGGCTGGTGTCTGCTATAGAATTGATCGCTTGCTTAGTGTGTGGGGAGAAGCCCTCCCACATTTGGTCACCAAAATCCTGTGTGTTGATTGTTGTTTTTTCCACGCCCACAGGTAAACATTAGTATCCCCATTTCAGAGACAAAGAAACAGGACAGAGGGGGTAAGTCCCTTGCCCAAGTCTGTCTGTAGTCACTGCTTGCCCATTCTACGGCCTTGCAGTACTGAATGTTAACACGGGCTCTTCAGAAGTGGTTGCAGTGTCAGCATCTTTAATGGGATGAAGGCAAATTCCCAAGGATAGATGTGGAGAGGTACAGCGATTTGAATGCACAAGCAGGCAAATATTTTGCTTTCTTTTGAAAAGGACAAACTGTATCTTTATGACATGGGCGTTACTCTGTGCAGTGGGAAAATCTCTCAAAAGAGATAAGGGCTGGGATTCATTTTTTAAAAGCACACTTTTTTTGAAAGGCTGCATAAAGATTTTATCATCTTCAACATCACATCACATGGACCTCCCTTTCCTGGGATTGGGAAGGGGATTCAGGCCACCCAGGACCCTGACAAATGAAGGTTATTAGCAGCAGTTAAGAAAGGTCGGAATTAATAGTCTTCCTGCTCAGACAGCTGCAGCCACTGAACGGCCCCACGACCTCGAACCCCACAGGCTTTGGGACATGACCCAGAGTCCAGCAGAGCACGTCTGAGGGCAGTGGGGAAAGAGCACCCTGGAATAATCTGGGGAGTTAATACTGATGCCAGAGCCCTGTCCCCAGAGTTTCTGATTTAGTGGTGCCAAAGTGTGACCTGGGCAGAGGGATATTTAGACGTTCCCCAGGTGATGTATTGAGGACGCACTGTATTGAGAAGCATTACTCATCTCATTTGAAAACATCACTTTGCAGCTGCTCTGGCCAGACACCTGGGAATCATGCCAGACTCCTCCCTCTCCATGGAGCTCTGGAGTCCCTGTCTTCCTCTTTATTTGCTGTGCCTTGCCTTGGTCTAAGCCCCACCATGTCTGCTCCAGATCCTTGCTTCCTTATCTTTCTCCTGCCTTCTGGGGGTTTCTCTTTTCAATCTGTATTCACAAAGCTGCCAGATGGATTTCTCAGTTCTTAACCTGATTAGGCCCCAAATTAGGCTCCCCTGGCTATAACCAGCCTCCTTTGCAGGGTGCACAAGAGTCTCCTGGTGTGGCCACTGCCCACTTCCCAGCCCTGCTGGCTGCTCCTCCCCATGGACACCCAGTTTTTTGCAGAAATGAATGGCTCTGGTTCCCAGAACCACCTCTCTGTTCTGAGCCTTTATGTCTGGGTATCCAGCGTTGCCCTCTGCCTTCATCTCTCCTCGCTGGAAAGATTCCTCCTTACCTTCCCAGTGAAGGCCTTCCTATGTCCCTTTCTCCCAACTGTCTCTGTCCTGGTAAGAAGATCCACCCTGTCCTCTTGCCTCCTTGGCACCACCACACCTGTCCATGACAGCGCTGAGCAGGTCCAACCAGAGCTCTGCTGACCCTGTGAGCGTCTTGGGTGGGCTGCACCTATCATGCCTTGCATCTCTGGTGCTCAGAACAGGGCGTTTTACGTAAGTGAGCGACTGCTTTTGTGATTGCAGGATACATTTAATATGTGCTCAGAAAATGTCATTGTTTAAAATACTCCAAGAAAAGGGGGTAGATAAAACAAGACTGGCGAAATGTCGGTAATTATCGAAGACGGGTGATGTTCACATGGGGATTCATTACACTATTCACTCTGCTTTTGCCTGACATTTTTCAGAATAAAATGTGAAAGAAAAGAAAATGCCTTTGCTTGAAAGGCTGATTTGAATAATAAGAGAAATGGCGGTTCTCTTCCCCTCTGCATCTGAGAGGTGACTGGAGTCTTTCTGGGCTCTGAGGGGAGACTTTAGCACAGTCAGTTTGATTGTGGGAATCTTTCTATAACAAGGGCCCCCGACAAAGTGGTGAAGTTGGCAATGCACAACCACAGTAGGTCCCTACCTTCTTTATTTCCATTTTTGTCATGTTTCTTCAGCCATTCAATATTCTTCCTGATGGCTTCCAAGTAGACTTCTGTTTTCCCTGGCAAAGCAAGAGAACCAGATCAGACGCTCATAAAACAGCACTGCATCTCTTTTTAGGGACCATATTTATGTTCAAAAGCACGAATACTGGACTTAGGGAGCACTTGTAAGGTGGTGTCCCTAACTGCGTAATGTGCATATCTGAATGTATGTACACATGTGTGTTGTGTGTGTTGGGGGGGTGTATGTGTCAAGGAGCATTATCCACACACACAAATAAATACAGTTTGATGTCCTGGCAGAGAAGAGTTTTGATTCAGTTTACTAGATAGGTGGGTCCCTACAATTCTTAGATTGGTTCATTTCTGGTTAGGGACAGTTATTCCAAACCAAGGCGCATTATCAGGTCAAGGACTGAACCAGAGTGGAAGATACTTAAAGACCCCATCACTTCAGTTAAAAATCCAAGTGTGTGGCTTTATGTAAGCAGCTCTATAAGTCTTCTGCCCAATCCTAGGAGGGGATGTGTAAAAACTCAGATCAAGAGGTGATCAGGGCCTCACTTCAAGGTTTGGATGGTGAATCTTAGAACTGGTTCTAATAAAACTCTCCTGGATGTAAACACTCCCCCATGGGCCTCAAGCATGGCTGGGGAATACCAGGCATCACTGAAGCATTCACTCAATGATGTCCTTTATCTGCATGGTTGTCAGTAAATGGGGATTATCACCAACTTAGAGATGAGGAATCAGAGAGGCTAAGTGACTTGGCTAAGGTCACACAGGAAATAATAGCTGGAATTTGGACTCTGGTCTGCTTAGTTTCTGCTACCTGTATTACCTGAAAGAGAAGACCCCGTCTTCATGGACATTAAAGTGTCCTTGTTCTAGATCAAAGAAATCAACTGTTCCCTTAACCAGGTGAGTCCTTAAGGCTCAGAGTGTCAGAACCAAGAGACCTGGTCTAGAGAGTACCAGATGGCTTTTAAAAAGAGGCTTGCAAAGTCCAGAGCCTCTATAGAAGCAATGGCTGTGAAGCTCAGTGTGGTGACCACCCAGTCTGAGCCCCTGTTGGGCCCTGTTACCTCTAGTCTACTGTGCACGCCACTTGGTTCAGCTACCTCTACTGTGTGCTTATTACACGCCAGGGACTGCGCTTTGTGCTCCAAAATGCATTATCTCTTTTATTCTTCACAGCAACCTTTAGAGGCAGTCCTAATATTATTCCCATTTTATAGATGAGGAAACTGAAGCACAAAGAGAGAAAGTAATGTGCTGAAGATCACATAGTAGAGTCAGGCTTGAACCCGGCTGCATCTGACTGCTATCCACGTACAATGACACTGCTTTAAGAGCTGTCGATGTTCTAATTTCCGTCATTGCATTTACCTTCCTGAGCATCTTTTTCCTAATCTTGAAGCCCACTCTTGCCTTGCCACCAAGGGGCTCCATGTTATCTGGTCCCTAAAGAAGCACAGAGACTCTCTTCTAAGCAGAGAGGTATAAATGGACGACAGAAGAGATCCACAATTTTTATCCCCTAATCACTCCAATAGTCTGGGTGGAAACCGCCTTGATTTCAGTGGCTTGGTTTCAATAATGTCATAGTATGTGAAGAACAATATCCCCCGGCTGATGTTATAACATTACAGCACAATCAGTACAGAAATTTTCATTGTCTATTGCCCGTTTCTGAGAAGATTAACCGGATTTGGTGACATACAAACGGTGTTTTCCATTAAAAATTAATTCATTTAGATAAGGCATTTTTAACATTCATTGCAGATGGGGTAGGTGGGAGGGGGAGGAGGGGGAGTGTAAATTCACACCTAATGGGTGCAGCGCATACTGTGTGGGGGGTGGGCACACTTGCAGCTTTGACTCAGCAGTGCAAATGCAATTTATGTGACTACAGCATTTGTACCCTCGTGATATTCTGAAATAAAAAAATAAAATAAAATAAAATTGCATTAACCTTAAAAAAAAAGATATGGCATTTTGAACAAGGAAAGAAATCTTAGTGTAGACCATTTCTATACAATGCAACTGCATTGTTTTTAAAGAGTTTAAAGCAAATTAGTGATCCTCCTGGGGTTTGCTTTAATGAATAGGTAATGATCTGTCACTAGCACATTAGGGTAGTTAGGGCTTCTGAAACTTTTGAATATGTCTGAAAATAGTCTTGTTTAAATCATTTTGAGCATTTTTTCCCACTGTCTTATCCATGATATCGTATCACGATGTGATGAGATTACTTGACAAAAGCAAAGATATAGTTTAGTCTCTGTTTAAATACTGCATTAAAAATTTTGAATTAGGAGACTAAAAAAAAAAAAATTATGAGGTTTTTATGATAGTGTAGCAGACATTCCCCACTGTGGTGCCTCCCTGTCTCCAGATATGCTAATGACAGACATGCTCAACTGATGATGGATCAAGTTGGTAGATCAGTGCATCAGCTTCCTGGTTCCTCAGGCATATTCTACCTTCAGTTCCCAGAGGTCTTCAGTGGCACTGAGCTGAGTTGCCCGCAGCTGAAGCCTGCTCACTAACACATCTTACACTGGCTTCTTCCTTTCCCTGTTTCGTGTACCTGACCCTGCAGTGGTGCTTCCTGGGGTCACCTCCCAATTAAACTGCTTCGAATCCTTCTCTTAGGGTCTGCTTTGGAGGGAACTTGACATAAGACAATTGGCAATAGAGGTCTCGTCATTACCTTGTTAGGTTGCTTTTTGCTAAGGAACGAATGACCTATAAAAATGGTGTGGGATTTTAGAAATATGAAATGTATGAAAAGCAAACGTATTCACTATATTGACATTATCGACCCACAACAAAGAATGAGTTTACTACAGCTTAAAGAAAACTAGACTACAGTCCATTAAGAGACTAGTATCTTGTGGGTCATATCATATACGATAAGGACAATCTTTCTGATTTAAATGGAGCACCCCATCACCCTCATCCTCCTTTTATGCTTTATTTTTATCCAAACGAAGGTGATTACTTATCACCTTATACTATATTATATAATTTGTTTATTAAGCTTATTGTCTTTCTCCTTTAGAAATATCTCGTTTGCTGCTGTACTCTCATGCCTAGAACTAGGACTGACACATAGTAGGCCCTCAATAAATACTTATTGAATGAGTAGATGGATGAAGGCTTCCTATATAGAAGTCAAATTGTAATTAGAAGTATGCTCAGTGAGCATGGAATGCAAAGTAGGGAAAGTACTTTTTTAAAAAAGTATATATGGCATAGATTTCTCTCTCTTTTTTAAATGAAAATGAATTGTTTATTGGAAAGACTTGAAATTTAATGGATCCTGAACCTAAATGATATGTATATGAGAAACAATTTAAAACACAAATGTGGTAGACATACTATATCCACATGTCATTTATTCTTCACAGAACTCTATGAAATAAACATCATTGTTTCCATTGTCTTTTTCTTTTCTTTCCTTTGCTTTTTTTTTAACCCCATCCCTGGTGTCAGGTAAACATTGTTCCCATTTTACTTATGAAGAAACTAAGGCTCTGAGAGGTTAAGTGACACATTCAAGGGGGCACAGCTAAGTAAGGGTCAGAGCCTGGTTTTGTACCAGAATGAATCTGGAGCCTCTAGTGAGTGACTGCAGCTGGGTGGAATTCACTTTTAGACTAGAGGAACTTAGTGTCTGTTGTTATCAAACTGGCAAACAAGGCAGTGCTTGTTAACCTTCGCTGCACATTAAAATCACTTAGCCAAAGTTTAAAAAGCCCAATGTCCAGGTCGCTCCTCAGACCAATTAAATCAGAATATCTGGGGCTAGGGACTGAGCATCAGTAATTTTTAATGATCCTGAGGCGATTCCAATGTGCAGCAATGTTTGGGAATGACTCCCACCAGTATTGAGACCTCCACGTAGCTACAGCAGCACTGGGAACAATGGGAATAACAGCAGGTGTTCCTCTGCGCTTGGAGAGAAGCAGCTAGTTCCTATTTACTTTTCTCTAGAGCTGTAAAGCTAATCTTTTATTTACACGTGTGCACTGAAAACCTATGAGTCTACTTTGGAAAGCTGGACTATTTTTTCCCTAATTTATTTCAGCTTCCTTTGGAAAAAAATAGCTCATGGCTGAAGTAATAGAGCACGAAAGCCTTAAAACATATGCCGAAGCAGATGGGAAGACAGCCAGAGTCAAGATGCAGCCATGCTTTTCTGGCTGTTCTGCTTTTCTACACTGCAAGGGAAATAACCGTTTTTATACATAAATTTGTCCTGACCCTAATATGTTGTTCTGACCACCTCCCTCCCACTCCCCTGCAACAAAAGTGTACAAATCAATAGGATTAACCTATTGCATACTGGATATACTAAAGATATTAAATATTCTACAAATATTTATAAAATTAAGTTTGATATAATGCTTAAAATTATTGGCAAGGCTACATGATTACAGTTTTGAACTGCAGAAAGCAAAGCAACTGATACTGGCATTGCGGACACCAACATAGGCCACAGAGCCGTTCAAGAATTTCTGTATAATGATGCCGTTTCACGTGCCTATTAGATGCAGCATGGAATACTGAAATAGCACTGGATTGAGAGTCAGGGGACGTGGGTTCAAGGCCCAGCTTGGTCACTCTTTGGCCATGAGATCTTGAGCAAGTTACTTCTTCCGGGCCTTGTTTTACTGATTTGTAAATTAAAAGGTGAATTCTAAAAAAGAGATTCATGGTTTGCACATATGGGAAGAAATTCTCCTTTGCTATTCTTGAAAAACCCATGTCTTCCATGCCTGTGCTTAGCTTCCGGCCCACTCGCTGACTCCCAGGGGAGAAGATTGAACTCACTATTTTTGGACATTTCCAAGAATGCCTTGGGACTTGAATGGAAGCCTAAATTTTCTTCTCTTATGTTGCTTAAAAAATAAGAGCATCCGTATGAGTTAGGTAATTTATCATCAATTTATTAATGAAACAGGCTAACTTTTCTGGCTCCTGTAAAAAAGATAGGAGAATGATAGGATATTTAGGTGAAAGTTATCTTAGAGATCTCTTTTTTCAACCT